CCCAGACTCACTTGATGCCAAGTCTTCCTTCCTGGAGCACCAAGGCTCTGTGTGGAGTCCAGCTGGCGAGTCAGGGAAACGTCATAAATTGGAAGAAGAGTGTGCTGGAGCTACTTAAAGCTGCGGTGAACCAGAGGAAAGGGACCAATCACACCAAAGATTTAGGAAATGGATAGAAGGTGTTAAAATATCCATCGAGAGCATAATTTGTGAAATGACATCCAGAGCACAACAAAACCTAACACTGAAGAGACTGACACAAACCCCCATCACCCATCCAGGCTGTTTCTGCACAGCCAGACCCCAAACAGCCACCGCACCTCTCGTCGCACATTTCCTGATTTCTAGGAGTGCAGCACAGACAGAAAGCAGCAGATTTTCCAGCCTTGTTGATGCTCCTCTACTTTCAAAGCTGTCAGATTTAATTGCCTCTCAGCAACGACCTCACGTGGCACATGCTTTGGCTGGGAACGTATTCCTGCAGCCAGTTCGAGCTCCCTCTCCCCAAATGGAAACACCGACAGGTTCCTAACTGCAGGAACACCAGCAGGAGCCGTAACACCACAAGTCTAGATGAAAACTTAACCTGTCAATGTTAACACTTTGTGTTTTAACATTCTGTGTGCCTTTTTAGGGTTGGTTACATGTAAAAATTTGAAACTGAAGAAGAATCCCAGGTGCCCGAAATGCAGAGATTTCCCCCGCTCTCCACTATGGTCCTTGTTGAGCAGCCGCCTCCTCCATCCCCAGAGATGGAGAGAAAAGCACGGTTGTGCCATGTACCTGCATGAACACACGGCGCTACGCTGCTGAGCTCGGCTTTGCTGCAAGCACTGTAAAACACGTTCATTGCAATTTCACTTTCAAAACGACTTCATTTGTATCTGGAGAAGCAGACGGAAGGATGCAGGAACACATTACACTTCCCAATTTATCTGCAGACAGAATATTTCTAACAGGGGACAAGCAGCTTGACAGTTGTCTCAAAAACAAACTCATTCCCATGCAAAATGATCTGGTTACACAAACTCACTCAAAACGATCTGGTTGCATAAACTCACTCACTTACAAAAGGAACTGGTTATATGCCAGAGCCATGAACTCTGCCTCATCATAACTCAAATAAAATCACCACAAACGCTTGACTCTTCAAACAACTGATCTCCCAATTCACTAACAACTGTGAAAAAGGGAGTTGATTAGAAAAAGTATATAAAGTAGAAGGGAACTTTATATATCATGCTATACTTCCACACCACTAGTTGTGTGATGACTTCCCAAATACAGGTTTCTAAAGGATCCTGTTCCCTAACTGCACAGCTCTCTGTGTGACTCTACCTAATACTTCAAGATCCCCTGGTACAAAATGGTCCTTCCCATTTCTGGGGATGTATGGAAAATAAAATCCCATTTCACAGAAGACCTTGCTACTTCAAAATCAGTCTTCATGCCTGTGCAAAGTAAAGTGTGAATAAACATTTCAAAGACAAGCCAAGTTCTGGTGCCGCCCACCTGAGAAGAGTATTTAATTGCCACGGGAGCAGGAAGAGGCATTTGGGAACCGGCATCCCCAAGGCTTCTAGGCTTTCAGAGCATTTAGTGGGCGAAGGGGAAGCCTCCAGTGAGCAGCACCAAGGGCTACTCTGCCCTCTCCACAGTGCCCTGGAAGCTACTGGGGCAGCCAAGCGCTGGAACATCAGGGTAAAAAGCGAGAGCCCCAGAGCTCGGGAGCTGCAGCAACCGCCACTCTCAGCTTCAGGCCCCGCAGCATCTTTCCAGGCTGCACAGTACTGCCCCAGAGAAGCCCACCAGGCTAGGAAGGATTTGAGAATAGGCTGCTGGTTTCTGCAGCAATTCCAAGACGGTCCAGGCTCAGTCGCAGGTAATGACCCGCTGACTGGCAACACTTCCATGCACCCACGTTTATTTTTCAGCTGACAATCTTCCTGCTGTTGGACTCAGAAGTAACAGCCTCCCTGGCTCACTAGAAGCAGACAGGCTACAAGACAGTGCACACACATCCATACACAGCGCGGTACCTTGGAACCAGCTCGGTTTGTGACCCTATCGATTAAATTTGCTCTACACCTCTCCTTTTCTCAGCAGAAGATACAGAACAGAAGAATCCTGACTTACCATCAGGAGAAACTATTACTCGATAAATCACCTTAGAGCTAAAACAGCACATTGGGAAATACTAATTAAGAAGTTACTTGGGACATACTTTACTGCGTAATTTATTGGTGGAAGACCGGACAACATGCGTTTATCAACACATAGAAGTTCAGTGGGAAAAATAATTACCATCTCCTTTTAAAAGCTGTCTGAACTCTCTGTTTCCTTAAGGAAACAGTCTTGCCAGCCTTAATTATAGTTTCCTCCAACTGTAACATTCATAGGTCTTAAATCCTTCACTTACTTTTATTGCCCGTAATTAGAGTGTGTATGGTTTCTGTCCAAAAGATGGAAATGTTTTAAAATATTAAGAACTTTGTCAAGAAAATTAAGTACTTTGGTATTGTTCAATGGCCATTTCAGTCTCCCCCCTCTGCTTCCCCCCACCCTGTTTTGCTGAATTAATTTTGGAACATAACACATATCGTGCTTGGATTTGTCCCAGACAAATAAACTCAAAATCATTATTTATCATTTACGATGCCTTTTCCAAACACATTTGGCAACCGAATCCCAGCCAGATCCCTTTTTACCAAAGAGCTTGAGCAAGCAGGGCTTTAGACACCAGGAAAACAATTTGTACCAAGAGTCAGAGTACTAAAGCCAAGCTTTCAGTGTTAAATATATTCTGCAAAAGTAAGTGCACCTTCAGCATATAAGTGATAAAATATAATAGTAAAATGGGTGAGCAGTATTTGGATCATTGCAGGATAAAAAAACCATACAGATTAAGCAGCCTTGTAAGCAGTGGAGTGGGCACACACACCACCTTAGCGATCTTCTCTGACATCAGCCAACTACTGCCACATGCTCTGCACCCAAGCATCATAAAGGAAGACGAACAAACAGCGCACAGCAAAGCAATGCTGTAAAACTGGACATAGCTTCTGCAATGGTATATCACTTATAAAACACAATCTTTGAACTAGGAACTGCACTACAGCCGCTGCTGCCTCAGGAAGCTGTGGTTTGCTGCTTGGAACACTTCATTCGTGTGCTGCTTTCAGGAATGTGGACATCTAAACAAAATTTTGTAGGCACACAAGGTTATCTAAGGGTAAAACTTAGTTTATCGTATTCAAAAACACAAGAGAAAAGGAATACAGAACAATACGTGTTTACTGGGGGAGTCTTTCTGGAGAACGTGGTGATTAGGAGAGAGAGAAAGGGTTGTCACCACTCTTCCAGTCCAACTTGTGCTCTTAGAAACCTGCACCACCACGAAGCTCCGAAGGGGTCTCAGATAAAGAGATGGTAGCTCCCAGGCCACTTCTTTTCAAGAATGGGTTTCTTCCCCATAAAGAGCTGGCAAAGCAGCAAGAAGCACTTTGGTTGGTGATGAGCAGGCTCAAGTGTTTTTCTGGGTTCACCCAGCTGACTGCCATCAAGCTGCTCTCTCCCTATTTAAACACGAATGGGATCTGTCTCATAGCTTTGTCACTACTGATGCACAGGTAGATTTTGCTGCAGGGACAAAGACCTCTAAGGCCTTCAGCAGAAAACTGTCATACCACCATCAGCTCAGCCTTTTCCTTTCCTCACAAAGGAATGTTCCAGACAAAGGCTGTCCTGCCGCGTCCTCCTGCAGCCCCCGTACGAGCACCCAGCACGGCACGGACCCCTGTGCAAAGCCCTACCTCCTCCTGTTAGGTGCAGAGAGCATGAGGAACACCCCAGTCTGGAACTGAGATGCCCAAGTATCCCCATGCCCAAGTATCTCAGCAAACGTGCTCTGCAGCAGAGAAGCAGGTCACATCAGCTTCTTACCCCAGAGGGCCACAGGCTGGGCTGGTCTGAGGGCACACAGGAATATACTGGGTGTATGGAAGGAACTCCAACAAGTTTGGAAGGAGATGAGCACGCAACACGGTTTTACAGGGGAGAACACATATCGGGGCAGCATGGACAAGAAAAGGTTTGAAAAGGAAAACGAGTCCACCCCAGTCACACCATTCCCATGCTGTTCCACCTCTTTTATCAGAGGAAAAAGTACCACAAGCAACTACTCCAGGCCAGGATGCACTTACTTGAGCTCTTTACTCCAGTTCTTTACTGTATGAGATGCGTATTAACAACCAGAAGAGATGCAGTCCAAGGAAGCCGAGGCCACCTTTCAGCAAAGAAACTCTTTATGCTGCGGCTAGGTTCCCCAGCGTTATTTCTACTCGACAGTAGAACGGCAATTAGTTTGGAGTAGTAAGACGCTTAAAACCATCCCTACTATCTTCTCCCACCACCCACCCCCCTGTTCTTTCTGATTGCCCCACAGCCAGGTCTGGTGGCCAGCAGGCCGCAGGTTTGGGCTCCGGACTGAGCCCAGGGAACACCTACTGGCATTTGGCTGAGTTGGTCGTTTCAGCTACAGGAACTGTATACACTTTGGGGACTGCCTTTCTGCTCTCTGCATTCTAGCACCGCTCCCAGCCCCACCGGCCCCGCTGTGTGCAGGAAGTCGCGCTCCTCGGCTGACGATGGGCTGTCGGGCTATGCGAGTCTGCGCGCGTGTGTCTGGATCCAGGGTTCAACCATGTCCTCCGGCTGCAGGGGAAGGGTCTCGGGGAAGGGGGTGTGCAGAGGAGTGGGTGTAACAAAGCTCTCATGGGAACGGGAGAGAAAATAAACACCAAGGTAATGCCAGAAGAGGAGTTTGTCAATACTCCCTTTCCCAGTGCCGGCTGGTTTCAAGTGCTAGCTATCTCGGCTCCAGACGCAGAACTGACAGCTGGCTGTTGGGTAAGCTCTGCACACTGTAAATGCCCAGTCAGTGCTTTAAGAGATGCTTCGCATGAGCTCTGTTCTCCAGCAGTTTGCTGCTCCGTGCTTACCTCCTCAACGTCAGGTGCCAGCTCCGCGTGCTGCTGGGACCGACTAGCTGGGAAGCTCCAGCTGGGATTTAGGAAGCTGAGCCTGGCCCAGCGCCTTTCTCCTGGAGGAGGCAATCCAGGCAGCACAACCCCGCCAGCTGCCTCTCGCCCAGCCGGGCTGGCAGAGTCTGCCACCCTGCGGCACCGCAGCCGGGCAGAAACCCGAGCACCGCAGCTGTCTGCAAGTGGGGAGAAAGCAGAGTCAGCAGAACGGCAAGGTGCTGTCTGTCAGAGGGGGAAGGAGTGGGGAGCAGAAGAGGTCAGCCTCCAGCACAGCTCACAGTTGTCCTGAGCTTCTGCTGCGTCTGTCTCCCCAAGAGGAAACCCAAAGATGACATCTCGCTCACGTGCTCAGGGGTTAAGACCTCCGGCTAAATAAAAACCTAACCCTCAGATCTCCTGGGGTATGTTACCTGTGAAGGCCTCGAAATAGAAGACCAGAAAAAAAAAAAAAAAAAAAAACAACAACTTTTTGGAACCAGACCAGAAAGACTGAAACCATAAACTGCAAATGTGCTAATCCCAAACCTTTCCCTGAGCAGGAGGCGTTGGCGGTTTGAGGTACGTGAAGGGCTAGATCCCCCTTAGCTTGGGGACATTCTGGAGGTCTCTCATCCCTGCAGAGGAGATTCCTGCGGTGGCACTCAGCTGGAAGGGCAGCGAGTCGCCAGGCTCTCCCAGGCACAGAGAGCGTTACCCGAGTCTGGCTGGGCAGCTGCAACACCTCTGCCCATCCATTAGCTTTTCCTCGCAGGGTTCTGGCATCTCAGGACATGTCCTTCCAAATGCCTTTTTCTGTACACTGCCCAGCCAACAGAATTGAACGGGATCTACTGAAGTGGAATTTAGAAAAGGAAAAAAACAATCAGAAATTCTGAAAGTCTCTGGAAAGGTCACCTCTCACGAAGAGGAGTGATCAATTCGCCTTTTTTTAATCTTCTCCATCTGCTGGTAGGAACGTTTTGACATTGTGATCCAAGAGAGTTTGAGGAGAAGTACCTGTCCTTAGAAACAGGGATTAATATAAATTTTGGGAAACAATGCCAAGAAAGAAAAGCTATCCAGCACTGCTGGGATAGGGGTGGCTCCTTCACTCTCATTCTTAGGGCTCTAACCTTCTTCTAGAGTGGAAGCTGGATTCCAAACAACATTGTACACACACACACACACACACACACTCAACTTCTGTAGCTGAACAGCTCCATTTGCTATCAGAGAAGTGCTCTTCTAGGAAAATAAGAGACCATGACACAGTATGACGGAATTTAAAAAAAAAAAAAAAAAAAATAGAGATCAGCCCAGGCAGTCCCCCAAATCACTTCTTTCTCAGATTTCCCCTCTCTCAAATAGAGATGATGATTAAATAAAAACACATCTATTAAAATAAAGAGACAGTTAATTATTTTAGTAACAAAGCAGTTTGGAGATTCTAAAAACAATTCTGTATCAGTTTAGTCTTTTAACTGTTTACACTAAGAATTAGTCTCATCTCCTTCTGGCTGCTATCTCGCAGATCCATGCGATCTCAAAATATCATCAGTCAAAACAAACAAATAAGAACGCATCCAAAAGTGAAAGAGCTCATCCAAATACATCTAAGTATCTCTGGCAACACTAGGCACTGATCCATGAGAGGACAGACCGGTTGTTGCCAAACTGACACAACTTCTGACCATATCCAGAAAGTGAGCAAATGTAAGATTCTGGTGTACAGCTGGGGAAAAAAAATAAGTTAATCTTTATAAACCACAAAGTAACATCTGCTTACAAATGTGGTGCAGTTTCAAGTATGTTCTTGGGAGATCTCCCATCTTTACACACTCATTGTGCAGGGCAGTCTCACAGCCTAAGACCTTTTCTGAAGACACCACCAGCACAGAGAGACGAGGCTGAGCTCCGCTCAGCTCCACTGGTAAGGGACAGGAACCCGTCACCAGCTTGATCCACCTCGCAAAGCGACTGTATGGAAACACTTGCACCATAAATGGAAAGTATACTGGTGCTTCTTAACTTTCAACCGTCTTGAAACCAGCCTCGTTTGACTAAATATTTAAAATGAGTTACATCTGTGCAAATTGGAATTTGTTTGGAAACATTAAGTACGGAAAGTAACTTTCAAAGTGAAATGATAGGGGAATCACAGAATCATTCAGGTTGGAAAAGACCTCAAGGATCATCAAGTCCAACCGTCAACCCAACCCCACCCAGCCCACTAACCCATGTCCCAAGCACCACATCTACACATTTCTTGACCCCCTCCAGGGATGGTGACTCCACCACTGCCCTGGGCAGCCTGTTCCAATGCCTGAGCACTCTTGCAGTGAATAAATTTTTTCTAAAATCCAGCCTAAACCTCCCCTGGTGCAATTACAATATCTAATACCAAACAAGCATGCTTGGGACAATAAATCAGTCAATTGAGCCACGTCCCAGAGATCAAGTGCTGTTGTTTCACCTGACATCAAACAGCAAGTACCTGTTCTCTCCTTGCCACCAGCAGCAGCACACCAGCAAACCCTACCCCTTCCCCGGTACAGCAAGCCGGGTCTAACAGCAACAACGGGTGTTTGTGGAACTGGAATAAAAAGAGTTACCACCAATGAAATAATGAATCTAAGGAGGTGTTAGGAGTTGCAAGACCATACATACCACTCTAAAACTCCTACCTTAACATACACATAAACACAAGTCAAGTATTTTCACCTGCACATGGTCAGTAACTTTACCATGAGAAAAACTGCACACTCAGGAATCAGGAATCAAACCATAAAACAGGAATCCTTTGTCTTCTATTTAGATAAGACAAATACAACAGCAAAAAACTACTTTTTGTAGTAGGGAGGGGAAAAAATAAATCTAATATGCAAGACACTGAATTCTAACTCCTTATAGAAAAAAAAAAATTTGCTGAACGTATTTTCGAAAAATCCTTCAAACCCATGAAGCATGAGTCAGAGCAACTCTTAAGGCACTTTTAAAAAGCACTTTACAAACTCCCTTTGATCAACACTGGAGACATAAAACCCACCTCCAAGGTCAGCTGTAGAGAATATCAAGAAAAGCAGGGGCCACACAGAAGCACTTGCCTACACAGACAAAACAAACACAATACATATAAGATTTCAACACATTTTCAAGTCCTTTTAGCATTGGCAGAAAATGCACGTTCCCTTGAGTCCCATTGAAACTGTAAACTTTACCCAGGTCTCCGCTCTGAGAGTCTGTTGAAACAACTGTGTTTTCCACAGAGTATTTTGTGTTGACTACAAATGTTGGAAAATACATACATACACTTTTTCCTTTTTAGTTTTTTGTCTTTTTCCTCTTTTCTCCCCGAGTCAGCAAGTGAGCATTGCAACAATACAGAGAACAAATTATAGCACACTGTGGAAACTCCAAAACAAACACATCACCACAAATATAAGTATTAGAGACAAAGATCAGTAACTACAATGCAAAGAAACAAATATTTAGGAACTAAACAGAAGGCAGAAGCCAGTCAAGCACCAGTGCCAAAAAGCAAAACAACTTAAGAGCCAACCCACTGCTCCACACCCCTCACCAAAAAAACGCCAGGATGGTAACTGTGCAGAGCCAGACAGGAACCAGAGGAAAACAGTGACCTGCTTCCGTATCCCGAACACTATGGAGAGGTCAATACTGCCATGCAAGTGAACATACCAAGATCAGGAGCTTGGCAGGACATCCTAACGTGCTTTCTAGGCAACCCTGAAACTCAGCCTACCACGGCAAGATTCTCCACAAACACTACTGCTGGAAATGTTTCAGCTTTGAAGCTGCTTTAACAGAACTGGAGACAAGCAGATTGCTTTGTTTGGTAAGTACTTCCATCAGCTCATTGACAGTTGGGGGAACAGGGATGTCATCCATAGGAACCGTGTTAGCCTTGTACACACCAAGATTTGCAGGATTTATTGGCTCCAATCTATTTTAGCCAAGTCAAGGCTTTAAAAACATAGGAATGAAGAACAGGAAAGGACCTGTACAGGTTGTACAGTGTAAAATGCTTGTCATACTCATTTTAAGTTCTACCTTAGAAGCACTTTTCTACTGTAATCCCTTCTGCTATCATTCCAGAATGGAATAATGGTTCAGAAAAATTCACTGAAAACTTTGGTCTTCAGACTCTGCCGGAACCTCCCAGACCAGAGCGTACCTGGGGGGACTCTGAGTCTTGAAAAAAAGTATTTATTTCCTCGAATTCATGACTCAAAATGTTGCTTTGCTCAACTACATTGAAACAAATGCTCTGCTTTACTAACGTTGGTACCAAACATGATTTAATTTCCACCGCAGACATCCCGGATCATTCTCAAGTCATTAACAAGCACACCCTAGTAACAAGCTACAATATTTAGCAAGACAGGGGTGGAACCCACCTCAGCCAGCTTCGTCAGCTAAAACCTTAAGGATTCCCTGTTAGGTCAGCCCCTCGGGATAAGATAAGTCACCTTCTGGAGACACTTGTCCTCTTCCACCGACTGCAGAAGAACCCAAGAGCTAAGAGTGCTGACTGTCCCTGTGGAGATGCCCAGTAATGGCCAGGTCAGACTGAGCCTAACCTTCAGATGGCTCAAACGAAGCTAAATTAGATTTTAATCTCTGACATTTTTGTACTGTTTGCTCTAACAACCTCAACCAAGGGTGCTACGCTTCTGGGGCAGCCAGACAGACGCTTGACAGTAGTATCTGCTTGCTAGGCAGCAACTCCAAAAATATATCCCTTACATAAATATCTAACAGAAATAACTGAGAAGCTGCAGTAAAATGAGGGTTATTTTGCCTATTATTTCACAAGAGGGTTGAAAATATCTTTTTGCTGTTCATCTGTCAGGAAGCTCTGATCACTCAATGCCCATGAACTCATACCATCTCCTTGAGGTTGCTTCCAAAGATCCCAGTTATCACAGCTTATTTATTACATTTGAAACTCCTTAACCACGTAAGAAAATTACTTTTGGCTTAAATTTCAGTACAATTACCTTTCAGTGGCTGAATTTCCAGCTTTGAGATTTAAGGGGATTTTCTGGGGTTTAATGCTGTTTGTACATATGTGCATTTAGCATTACTGTACTGTACTGCTATAGGAAATGAGGCACTCGGGCTCAAACACCAGCTTCTTGTTAAATTCAATCAGCAGACAAACAACTGTGTCTTT